GCAGGTAAGGGCCGCGATCCGGAGGGAAAAGTTGAGGTTCGCCAGGCAGCAGTGGGAGGAGGGCAAGCCCGAGACCGAAGTCCCCCGACTCTCGGGATCCGGTGGTGGCCGCAGCCGCTCCCGCCCGGGCGGGTCTGGAGTTTCCTGCTCGCAGCTCGGTTCCCTGCAGAAAGGAATTTTCCCGGCGCCCCGTGCAGGGCGAGCTCTCTCCACTCCCCGGAGCGGGCAGCGGGCAGCGGCCAGGCGGCCGAGGCCTGAGAGGAGGGCACGGGAACTTGGGAGACGGAACGCGGGCATCCGAAGCTGGGAAAACGAAGACGCACGTGCAGGGAGAAAGTGTTGTTGTTTTTAAGCGTCGGGTGTAAATTCGCATTCTGGTTTTACCTGCTGGGCAGGTGCTCGAAGTGGAGGTTTTCTTTTCCTCTGGTCCCTCTCTCTGCCTGAGGTTGAGCTTGCGTACACCTGTGCCCGGTGGTTTTCCCTGCACACCTGCAGGCTGGCTCCGCTGGACTCGCGCATTGAAAGCCCTGCTTCCTCCCTTCACTTAGCTTTTTGCTGTTGTTGTTTTGAAATAATTTCAGGCTTACAAACGACTTCCTCTACACTTGGCATGACCTCTTACACTTGACATGATTGATCAAAGATCTTAAATGCTTTCTCTATGCTCTACCTTGTAGCAACAAAGAGCAAGGGGTTGCCTGCAAAAATACGCAGAATATAAAAAGATGGAAAATACATTTTAATATTTAATTCACCAGCGAATGCATGTCTGTGGTGTGCAGGGCAGTGTGTGAGAGGTCGTGGGTGGTGATGGAGTTTGCCGGAATCCTTGTGAGGTGCTATTTTCTGTGCTGCCCAGCCCAGCACACCCAGCTCATCTCTTGTTGGTCCCTGTAGGCCAGTGATGGCGATCCTATGACACACGAACTCATTTTTTTCTTTGTTAAATGGCATTTAAATACATAAAATAAATATCAAAAATATAAGTCTTTGTTTTACTATGGTTGCAAATATCAAAACATTTCTATATGTGACACGGCACCAGAGTTAAGTGAGGGTTTTTCAAAAAGCTGACACGCCGAGCTCAAAAGGTTCGCCATCACTGTATAGGCATCGCTCCCTGAGCTTCCTAGCAGCAAGGGCCAAAAGTTCCGGTTAGGCTCGCACAAGTTTTTATTTTGTTTTGTTTTTAGCAATTATTTAGAAACAGTCACATCTCCCATAACCTCGGTTCCAGTTTATCTGGAAAATATTCTGAAGATCTGGCTGCGCACAGCCTGCTTTCCTGCTGGAACTGAGCCGTGGTCCCCCCTTTCCCTGGGCCTGTGACCCCAGGTTTGTTTCACCTTCCTTGGGTAGCACTCACCCCCGCCCCCTTCTGACTTAGTGGCCACCTGCTGTCTCTCCCCAGCTATTTTCAGCTTTTACTTCACGTGAAGGGGCCTGGGGACATCAGATCCCGGCTTGAAATCATCCTCCTGGAAGGAGCCAGCTTTCAGGTGGGCTGCGGCTCACCTCGCAGGACCGCTTCCTCTGCGGTCATGCCCAGTTATTGATGCCCCAGCCAAGTTCACCTCTGTGTACGGGGCTGAGGGCTTCCCCAGTTGTTATATATATTTTTTGTTTGTTTTCCAAATTAAGAGTTTTCTTGGGGAAAAAAATTTTGTCTTTTTTTTTTTGTCCCATAACTCCAGATAGCGCTCATGCCTCCACTGTTGCCGCAGATTGTAAATCCTGGGTCATTCTTGGGGAAAAGTTGCTAGAAAGAAAAAGTTTGGGTACAATCCCAGCTCTATAAATGATAAAATGAGGGCAGCGCTGGGAAACGGCCGTGTCTGTGGCTTTCCCCTCTGCTCCTCTGGGAGACATCCGGGCCCTCCGGACACCAGGTCGATAACTTCTAACAACGCAAACTTATCACGTCATATCATCTCGCCCTGTCTGGTGGGGAGACCAGATAAATCCCTGTGGCCTGGAGTAGTGAACACCTGAGTGCTCCCAGCTCTCCCGGTGACTCACAGGGACCTTAAGTAAATGACTTAACACTTTCTGAACCTCTGTTTTCTCAACGTAAAATGAAGGGTTATAGCACAAGCAGGCATGGAACTAGGGGACCCCCAGACTATCGTTCCCGTGTCTGTTTCACAGCCATCACTAATCCATGACTGTACTCTCTGCACTGAGCCAGGACTCAGCCTGCCTCAACTGTAACCCAGCCCACAGGGCTGCCACATCTAAAAGATCCCCAAGGTCAACTTCAGCTTCATCAGTTTAAAAGAATGGAGTGAGCAAAGCCGGGAGGAGAGGTGAAAGAGCCTTGAGATGGTTTCTTCTGTGATTATGCCACCTGTTCCTTGGAGGAGAAGACCATTGTCAGCTCAGGTTCCGAGACTAACGTTTCACCAGGGCTTTTCCAAGCTCCTTTATTCCTTTGCCAAGGAGCCAGGAAAGGGGCAGGTCTGTAGGTCTCATGAGTGCACGTTGCATCTGTAATCTACAGCTCGTCTCTCCTCAGTGGGAATTGTCACTGAGAACTTGGGTTCCCAGGCCTAATTGTTTAAAAATAATTCTCACTTGCTTTGTAAAGTGTTTTTTTTGTTTTTTTCCAGATGCACTTCTTGCCGTTTTGGAATCTCTAGCATTGGATGGCATTCTCTGCCTTCCAGCAAGTGGCTTAGATTTTTTTTTTTCATCTTGTCCTGGGTTTTGGGCATGGTGTGGCCAAAATGGGGAGAGAATCAGAACATCCTGTGGTTCTGGACTGGCTTCAGATCGCTCAAATGGAGCCCCATGTAACCAGACAGAAGATTGGGGTACAGATAACTGTTACTCTTTATTTCATAAAGGGGAAGGATTCCCAGAGGCAGCTAGCAGGTGTTTGTTTGTTTTTTCTTAATAATAACTCTATTGAGATATAATTCGCATACCATAAAATTCACCCTTTTAAAGTGCACAATTTATAGTTTTTAGTATAGTCACAAGACTGTGCAACCATCAGTACTAATTAATTCCAGGACATTTTCATCACCCCGAAAATAAGCCCTAGCCCTAGCCAGTTTGTCTCGGTGGACAGAGCATCGGCCTGTGGACTGAAGGGTCCTGGGTTCGATTCCAGTTAGGGCACATGCCAGGGTTGCGGGCTCCATCCTCAGTAGGGGGCTGTAAGAGGCAGCCATTTGATGGTTCTCTCTCATCATTGATGTTTCTGTCTCTCTCTCTCTCTCCCTTACTCTCTGAAATCAATAAAAATATATACTTAAAAATCATTAAAAAAAAAAAAGCCCTATACTCATTAGCAGTCTTTCCCGACCCTCCCACTACTCCATTTCCTCCAGACCTAGACATCTGCTAATTATTTTCTATCTCCATAGAGTTGCCTGTATTGGACATTTCAGATATATGGAACCACACAAGAATGTTTTTATTGCTTTCAGAGAGGGAGAGAGAGATAGAAACATCAATGATGAGAGAGAATCATTGATTGGTTGCCTCCTGCACACCCCACACTGAGGATCCAGCCCGGAACCCAGACATGTGCCCTTGACCAAAATTGAACCCAGGACCCTTCAGTCTGCAGGTTGATGCTCCATCTACTGAGCCAAACCGGCTAGGGCAGTATGTGGTCTTTTATGACTGCCTCCTTTCATTTAAAATAATGCTTTCAAGATTCATCCACGACGTAGCATGTACTTCATTCCTTTTTAAGGCCAAATGATATTCCCATTGTGTGGATATACCACATGGTATTTATTCATTCACCAGTTGATGAGTATTTGGTTTTACCTTTTGGCTATTATGAATAATGCTGCTGTGAGCATGTACATACAAGTTTTTGTGTAGGCATATGTTTTCTTTTCTGTTAGGTATACACCTAGGAGTGGAATCGCTGAGTCACACGGTAACTTTAATCATGTGTGAAAATGCCAAACCATCTTCCTAGTAGCTGCAGTATGTAAAAATCCTACCAACAGTGTATGAGTTCCAATTTGTCCACATCTTTGCCAACACTTATTATTGTCTTTGATTTTAGCCATGTTAGTGGATGTGAAGTGGCAGCTACCTTATTGTGCTTTTGTTTGTGATTCATGTCAAGTACTGGCCAACCGTCCCAACAGGGTGGGGGCTCTGTGTGTTATTGCATCTTAAAACCATACAGCTGAGTTTTTTTAATTCCTAATGTGGAGGGACTGCAAAAGGGGAGGTTGTTCAGACACCAAGAGAGGTAGTAATAGCCTGACCTTTCCTCGTACAGGATTGGAGACTGTCGTCATCGGAGAGGTTCATGAGAACATGACTCTGCACTGTGGCAACATCTCGGAGGCGAGGGGCCTAGTGACCTGGTACCGGAATGACTCGGAGCCCATCTTCCTCCTGTCCTCCAATTCCAGCCGCCCACCGGCCAAGCCGCGCTTCTCCCTGGTGAACGCCAGCTCCCTGCACATCGAGGCACTGAGCCTGCAGGATGAGGGGAACTACACCTGCTGGGAGGCCCTGAACGAGACTCGGTGGTTCCAAGTGTGGCTGCAGGTGGCCAGTAAGTGGAGTGGGAGGGCCCTGGGACCGGCTGGTGAGGTGCACGGATCAGTAGACAGGAGGAGCGCTTTGGAGTCAATGGCCTGGGTTTCATTCTGGGCTCTGCCACCTGCAAGCTGAGTGACCTCTTGCACCTCTATTTTCTCCTCTGTAAAATGGGGATAAAAAGAATTCTTGCCTCATGGAATTGCGTGATGAATAGATACCAGTCGACCTATATAAAGTGCTATAAATGTTTCCTGGCATAATAGCTAGCTATTCCTTTGAGCTTGTTGTTAATATCATTTTATTATACAACGAAGTCAGAGTACAACATAATCGAGTTAGACCACCTGAGTTCCAGTCCGATGGCTGTCATTTATCATTTTTAATAAGTAGCGTAATATCCCTGAGCTTCGGTTTTTCTTATGTGTTAGGTGGGATAATACATCGCATACCTTACCAGGTATGTGCTCTGAGGTTATGGTGCTTAGCACAGGGCTTAGCATGAGCTACTATCACTACTGTGCTTTCCAGAAATGGTGTCCGTATACATGCATGAATGTAGACCATGTTGTTGGTAAAGTACAGCCTGTGGGCCGTATCCAGTCTGCTGCCTATTTTTGCTTGGCCTGCAAACTACCCATACTATTTTACATTTTTATACAGTTGAAAAAAAAATCAAAAGAAGAATAATATTGGTGACATAGGAAAGTTATATGCAATTCAAATCTCAGGGCCCATAAATGAGGTTTTATTGGATCACAGCCACACTTGTCCATTTACATATTATCTCTCATTGCCTTTGGTGCTGCAACAGCAGCGTTGAGTGGCTGTGACACAGACAGTATGGCCTGCAAGGCCTCAAATATTTATTCTCTGTCCCTTTACAGAAGAAGCTTGCTGTGTAGTTTAGTAGAAATGCCCATATGATCACTTTGCTGCTCCCTGTTTCCTCATCTGTAAAATGTAGCATTTACTCATTCCTTCATTCAACATATATTTGTTGAGAGCCTGATGCCAGGCACTGTTGTAGGCACTGGGCCAGGGGACAAGGTCCCCACCCGCCTGGAGCTGATATTCTAGTTGGGGGCAGGTGGGCAAGGTTTAAATCTAAGTCCTGCTGGCTGTTGTCTTTGTTACCTTGGGGAAGTCACTTGAACTCGTCCAACCTTCACTTTAACACCCGTGGAACCTAAGCACAGATTCTCTGCACCTTTTCATGAGATAAACCTGCACAGAGCTAGACACACAGGATGCATTGGTCCACGTTGCTTTGATCAACTGGTTAGGCAGGTGATGGGGTTCCCGTGGGAAAAAGTGCATCTCAAGTTCGCAGCCATCAGCTACGTGCTGTGGGTCGGGGACTCTGTGTGCCCAGATCTCATTTGTCCCATCTGTTCCCTGACATGGTTGATAACCGAGTCTCTTAAGGAGAAAAGTTTGGAAACATTCTAACATGGCCTCGCATGCTCAGGAGAAAATGTTCGAGATGTGACAAGTTGTTATCTGTAAGTGACTTGGAGTGTGTGACTGCAGAAGCACAAAGCCGGCTGTGTGAGGGCGGTGGCTTCTCCCTCCTTCCCGCTTGGATCTTTGCTTACTGATCAGTGGGCGTTTGGTGAGTCTGCCTCCTAGGAATCGGGTTTCTGTACGCCTGGGCTGATGCAACCCGTCTGGAATGGGCACCACGATGTGATTCTCGTTATTCGTCTCAGGACAAAAAGTCCCTGCACTAATACTGGTTGACTTAATGGTGCCGTTGAGGAGTCTTGCTGTTAGGATTGGGACTGCCTCTCCCGAGAGTACAGAAATCCCATGGTCCAGAGCTGCTATGGCGGCTTATTTCCCTGACTTATTCATCCTCTCCTGCCTCCAAATTGGGGTGGGTGCAGGGTTAGAACAGCTGTGCATTTACCTGCAGGAAGGCTGGAGGAGTGGGCACGGTGGCACAGACCTCAACACGTTCCAGTAGACTTTGTGCTTCTCTCAAGATATCATCTCTCATGCCTTGGGGAGCCAGGTGATCCCGCTAGAGATTAGCCCGTGAAAGGCCGCAGGACGGTGGCACAGACCTCAACGCGTTCCAGTCTGTGCTTCTCTCAAGATATCATCTCTCATGCCTTGGGAAGCCGGGTGATCCCGCTAGAGATTAGCCCGTGAAAGGCCGCAGTCATGGTGCACAGAGCCAGACTCCGTGTCTGTTTTTCTCAGGCCAAGCCAGTGCAGAGGGAGCATTGGAGCCGGTCGCTCAAGAGCCCCATTGGGTTTAGTTGGGGTTTGGAGGATGGAGGTGCTTCTGTTCTCCCCAGTGATGTGGCTGTCACTCCAGACTTACAGGAGACAGAGTCTCAGGAAAGTCCCGTGCTTCCCTCACTATTTGGGCCCATCCCATTTGCACTCATTCTCTGTTGGCGGGGGTGACCCTGGGCCCACAACCGAAGGCCCCAGGGAAAGGACTGCTGGGCACGCTGAAGGCAGATCGTTGACCCCCATTGGAAGACAGATGATCCTTGCCCAGAGATTGATTCATTTGAGTCTTGCCAAGCTCAGCAGAAGCAGAGATGGGTGCTTTTAATAGGCTGAAGACCGCTGGGTTCCCACTCTTCGGATAGAATCGGCCGTCACTAGGGAGATCGGGGGCAATGGCGTGGTTGTGTTTGCGTCTATGTTCCGTCTCTAGAAGTGATAGGAAAACAGTCCCTGTAAGTTTCCCCAGGATCTTATCCTGCTGTAGAACTATAAATGTGCCCACTGGCCAGCAGAGACTGCCCAGTGGGATCTTAGATCGTTTTCAAATAAAAATGCTGGTAACAAGAGTAAATGTCTGAAGACCGCTTTTCCTGTTGGCGAGGAACCCACACGCGGAGATGGGAATCTCCCTGTGTGTGGTGCCTGAGATGCAAATTAACCATTTGAGACCCTTCACTGGCCAATCTGTAGTTATGGCGGAAGGAAAGAAGTGAGTTCTATGTCAAGAATGATAGCAGAGAAGAGGAAGGTAACAGCGGTGGTAGATTGTTCTAGAACAGGAGGCAAACTTTTCTGTAGAGATCCAGATGGTAGATATTTCGGACGTTATGGGCCAATGGGTAAAATTGAGGATATTATATACGTAAATACTTATATAAAAAGAAAGAAAACCAACTTTTACATCCTATTATTGACAAAATTCAAAATGTAGTGATAATTGAGTACTTTTTTTGGTAGTACAGGCCTATCAATGAGAAGAACAGAATTCTTTCTGGAGGAGATAACATTTCACTTAATTGGGCTTCAAAGTTAGTGTTCTCCCTCATCAAATCCATTGTGCATATCCATCTGTAAAAACCATTCTTAGCTTGTGGGCCAGATAAAAACAGATAGTGGGCCATCTTCTGCCAATGCTTGGTCTAGAATCAATCTGCAGGTGTACTACTGCCAATACCATCAGATAAACACTTATAGACTACTGACCTCAGGTCAAACACCAGGTTACGGTGTATCTCATTGGATCCTTCAAAAACCCAGTGATAGAAGTTATTCCTGTGCTTGTCATTTCATAAGGACAAGAAAGTGAGAATGAGAAGGGCGGCACTTTCCTAAGGTAGTCCATTTATAAGCTGCTGTAGGATTCACATCCAGGTCTGTCTGAGTTCGAGTTCAAGCTCATAACTACTAGACTAAGGCATCCATCCCACAAAGAGTCAAGAACTGAAACTGACTTTGACCAAGGCTTTGATAAGATGCCCAACCAACTGATCCACACTTGCCAGGGCCTTTCCTTTAACTTTTTGTTTGAACTCTTCCACTTGCTTCCTTCTCATCTACTCCCTGTACCCAACTCCATTTCTTGCTGAGAATCGTGCGGGTCAAAAGCTCCTCCCAGCCAGTTTCTGGGACTCCACATTGTCCATGTCAGGCTACAGTGGCCCATGAGTCCACAATTTGAAAGACCTGGCTGGCCAATCTAACTCACTACCTTTACTGGCCCAGGCGTGGCTACCAGGACCTTGGAGGCACTCTGTGCTTAATTGGGTGTCTGCCAACTGTGGGCACTCCCTCGGACCTGCTGGTCCACATACCTAACCAACTAGCCAGCAGCAGTGAATGGGACAGTTGAGCACCTCCCAAACCACAGTATAATCCCCCCAGACCCTCTGTGGGAGGTGACATTGTTCTAACAGATCGCTGAAACTCTTAGGAACCAGCCCCAACTTGACAAGCATATGGTCAAGGGCATTGTCCTCAGAAATCCACAATTTCTAGAGTTTATACCACGGCTTCAGATATAAATGAAATAGATGCTGTACTGTGAGGGGCTCTGGAAAAGCCTTTTCCTCCCCCCAATAATTTTCCCCACTGGCCTATTTCTGCTCAAAATTTTCCGTAGTCATAGTTTTATTCCTTTGGCCAAGTATTGCCCTTCCTGGATTCTTCTTCTGGGAGAGGTAACTCCAAAATGACTTTAGTATGAATAGGTGCTGTACTGTACTAACTCAGGTAATCGTCACCACCACCCCACGAGTGGGTTCTGGTATCACCCCCATTTCACAGAGGAGGCAGCGGAGGCTGAGAGAGGTTGAGTGGTTTGCCCTGGCCTTTGGCCTTTGGGTGTGGAGTTGTGCTGGGGGCTCTGTGAGAGCTCACAGGACTCAGCGTGTACCATGGTCATGGCAAAGGTACACAAAGCAAGATCAGCAGAGGGGAGAGGTACCTGGGTGCCTTTTATTGGGGGTAAGTCCAGGGAAGACCAGGAGCAAGCTTCCTAGAGTCCTTGCCCCGTGGAGTCACATGGACGCGCTCATTTCCTTGAGCAACAAGTGTGGCAACACGTGTGAAACGCTGTCTACCAGGAGCCATTGGAGACTCTGCACCCCGAGTTTTTATCGGGGCCGGTCCCTCTGGCCTCCTCTAGCATGTTCTCAAACTCTAGACTCTCAGAAGGAAAGCTGGGGTTCAGTATAAACCACGCTGTCTGTACCAACAGTGTAGGCACAGTGAGCCCCACTCTCACCAGTTCTGGGAATGGTGGGAACCCCCTGACATCCAAGTTCCCAGTCACCTCGCAAGCTGGCCTTTTTGGAAGCAGACTCAGGCCTGCTGGGTTAACTCTTTAGTGCACAGGTACCCTTCCCGCTCACCCATGTTCTTAAAAAGGAGCGATTTCATTCTCTTTCTTCTGTGAGGGTGGATCCCTGATAAACCAGACTGAATCACTTGGGGTTAAATGAGAGAACGCGTCCGTCCGGGCACGTAGCATAGCCTTTGTCATAGAGGAAGTGTTTGATAGCTATTGTTATTCTTATTGGCTGCTTCCTGGTCATTTATGAGGCCAGTGAGAGCTGGTAAGGGGCTCCAATGAACTTTTCAGCCTTCCCCTCCCCCCTCTGTCATTCCCAGGCGGCCCCTACCAGGTCGAAGTCAACATCTCCAGCACCGGCGTGCTCCCCAATGGCACCCTCTACACCACCCAGAAGTCCCGGGTGGACTTCAGCTGCGCCAGCAGCTCCCGGCCTCCGCCCATGATTGAGTGGTGGTTCCAGGCCCCGGATTCCAAGACCGAGCCCTTTGGGAACAACCTGACGGTCAGCAGCTTCACGCTGCTACTGATGTCGCAGAACCTCCAGGGGAACTACACCTGCTTGGCCAAGAACCTGCTCAGTGGGAGACAGCGAAGCGTGACCACCGAGCTCCTGGTCTACGGTGCGTAGGAAGCACCCCTCCCCACGCCCTCGCCCGACCCTTTGTGAGCCACACGTGGGTGCCTCTTCCTTTTGTCTACAAAGGCCTGCCCGCTGCGTGTGTCCTAACATGCTTCTGCAGCTCCCTCAGCACTCGTGTACACACCCAGGGCTGCCTGTCAGGGAGGGAGTCACCTCTTCTAGCAGGTTGCTGCTAAGTAAGGCACAGAGTCCCTGAGAGCCACAGAGGGAAGTTCATGCCTAGCTCATTGCTTTCTTTTTTCTTTTTTAAAAAAAAATATATTTTATTGATTTTTTTACAGAGAGGAAGAGAGAGAGATAGAGAGTTAGAAACATCAATCAGCTGCCCCCTGCACACCCCCTACTGGGGATGTGCCCCCAACCAAGGTACATGCCCTTGACCGGAATCAAACCTGGGACCTTTCAGTCCGCAGGCCGATGCTCTATCCATTGAGCCAAACCGGTTAGGGCTCTTTTTTCTTTTTAACTGAGATGAAAGTACATAACATAACATTAACCACTAGAAAATGTACAACTGGCATTTAGCACATGGACAGTGTTGTGCACCCATCACCTCTGTGTAGTTCCAAAACGTGTTCATCACTGCAAATGGAAATCCCGTGTCCACTAAACAGCCACCCCCATCCCCTCCCCGCAGCCCCTCTCTCTCCCGTCCCATTGATCTGCGTCCTGTGTCTATGCATTTGCCCATTCGGGGCTTTTCCTATAAATGGAATCACACAACGTGTTCCCTGTTGTGACCAGTGTCACCGAGCACCCAGTTTACGAGGTTCGCCCAGGTTGTAGCAGGAGTCAGCACTTCATTCCTTTTTATGGACCGAACACTCCTCCACTGTGTGGATGGACCACAATGTGCGGATTCGTTTATCGATCCTCATGCATTGTCTTCCCGAACCCTGGGCCCTCCAGCACTGCTAGAACCAGCAGTTCATGAGCCTTTATTTTGGGGGAGAAGAAATTACCACTAAATGCACCCATAGACAGAAACCACTGTGGAGAGGCTTGGTGTACTCACACTCCACGCCAATGAGAGGGAGCACGAGAACAGACCGTCAGTGGGCAGGATAATGACACACGGCTAATCCGTGCGTGTTCAGAGCCTTGTACGTCTCTGTTTTCTCTCTCCTAAGTGACATTTATTGCATATCAAGTCATACGTGCTTGATGTGGGAAACACAGATGAGTATAAAGAAGAAAATAATCACTTGTACTCTAGCCATCATTTTGGCATATTTCCAAAGTTATTTATGTATGTGTATTATGTAAAATATATGGTAATACGCCTACATAATATAATATGCATATATAGTACATGTAAATTATATATAGTTAAAGTTAAAAATTTTGTGCTTTTAGTAATATGTGCACATGGTGAACAGGAAGTCTGTGTTGGGGGTGGGAGTGAATAAGTCCCACCTGTACCCCCTCTAGGGACCAAAACTGTCTACT